GAGCGGCTCCAGCCCCTCGGGGCAGAGCGGGCGCCAGGCTGCAGCTACCCTGCTTCTAACCGGCCTGGTCGGGAGGCGGGTCGCTAACCTTGCCAGGCGGTGTCGGTGGCCGCGGCCGGGCGGCGGCCCCCCAGGAACAGCGCCAAGGCTGATAAGGCATATTATTTACGGGTGTTTCCAAACATGGTGTTAGTCAGAAATGTTGATTAAACGGTTTATCTGTATGGTCCGGCAGGGAGTGGAATGTCTCTAATGGTGTTTGCGTTTTCCTCTATCGAACACGCGTGTCAGCTGTGAGGGGAATGCCCTTACTATTTTGTCTGTCCTTCAGATTCCCTGTCTGTGCAGCGGTGCCTCGTGTTTACTGTGCCGATGTTGTCCTAACAGCAAGAACTCAACAGTGACACGCCTTATCTATGCCTTCCTCCTCCTCCTCAGTACTGTTCTTGCCTGCATTATGCTGGCACCGGGAATGGAACAGCAGCTGAAAAAGGTATGGAAGGAAAAGCCTCTTTCTAACTGTTTGCAAAACTATTGCTTCTGCCAGTGACTCTTGATTTTCTTTACTTGGAATGGACTACATGAGAGACAGAAATGCCCAAATGTGCTTTCTGCCCTGAGTTCAGAGACTGTGTGTACCAAACGGCTTCTAGCTGAAATAGCAAATTCAGAGAATGTACATTTTTAAGTACCTGCCTGGTCTCTGAAACCTGACCAGACCTGGAGCTGGCCAGTCATCAGAGGCTTGCTGCTTTGGTATCTGAATCTTCCTGGGTGCTTTTAGTGATGACACGGGGAAAGAAAGATGATAATGAGGTCTGTGTAGGCTGGCTGAGCACAAGGTCTTTTGTTATCAGGTCTCCCAGAAGAGAGCCAACTGAGAGCCTTAGCTGTTAGACTGCTTGAAGAATGTAACTGCAAATACTGATGTAAATTGACAACTAAATGTGTCTTTACTCAGATACCTGGATTTTGTGATGAAGGGCTTCATACTCGGATACCACATATGAATGGCTTTGTCAGCTGCGATGTATTTGTTGGTTATAGAGCTGTCTATCGAATCAGCTTTGCCATGGCAGTGTTCTTCTTTCTCCTCTCTCTGCTCATGATACAAGTGAAAACAAGTAATGATCCAAGAGCTTCAGTACACAATGGGTATGTGTGTGAGCCAGCTGTCTGGTGTTCCACCTTGTTTCTTTTCTCAAGTTTCTTTGCTGAACACAGTGGTGAATTGTTTACGCATACATTGACAGCCTCAAGTTTTTTTTCAACTGAATACAGAGTAATGCTGTAGTCTCCTAAAAAGCTTTCTATTTATGTAAAATGTTCAATGTAGTGATAAAGCTCTGAGGTTGGGTAACTGAAAGGGCAGTGCTCTGGGCACCGCTCTGTGTTTCTAAAGAGATGCTAGATTTCAGTTGGTTTATATCCTTGCACTGACTCTAGCGCTCACTGGGTCATTCACTAGGCCAGTCTGACTTGGTAATCCAGTAGGAACTGGTTTCTGATTTCTGGTTCACCAATTTAACTGGGTTAGTTCTGGGCTAGATGACTGAATTATCAGAGTAATTTAATTTGAAAGGGACCTTTGGAGATCATCTGATCCAACCCCATGGTCAGAGCAGGAACAACATGGAGTAGGTTACTGGGGTCTTGTCTAGTTGAGTTTTGAATGTTTCAAGGGATGGGGATGCTTTGACCTCTCTGGGAAACTTGTGCAATTTTTTGATATATCTAATGGTAGTTTCTTTTTTTTGCAACTTGCATATGTTGCCTCTTGTCCTTTCACTGCACACTTGCAAGAAGAGTCTGGTTCTATCTTCTTCACACCTTTCTTTTAGGCAGTTGAAAACAGCAATCAGATCTTTCTTTTCCCTTCTCCAAGCTGAACAGTGTAGAGTTAGCCTTCCTCCCTGCAAGGATGAGCTGATGACTCACATTCCATTTGTTGGAGCAAGAACTCCTCTTTCAGCAAAGCTTTCTAGCCAGTTGGGCCCCAGTCTGTCCTGTTGCACGGGGGTTTTCTGTCCCAGGTGCAGTGCTCTGTATTTGGTTTTGAACTTTGAGGTTTCTGTCAGTCCATGTCTCCAATGTGTTGACCATTGCTTCACCCTCTCTCCCTGATTTGGTGAACGTCTTTATCTGTAATCCCACTGAACACAACTTTTTTTTTCTTTAAATTTCTGTTAGACGCTCATTTATGTACAGCAAGCTGCTTGCAGATCATGTAAAATGTGACTATTGGGTGCAAAGCAAGACCAGTATTTTCAACTTACATCTTTTTTTAAAGGTTCTGGTTCTTCAAAATAGCTGCCATTGTGGCTATCATGGTTGGAGCATTTTACATTCCTGAAGGGCCTTTCACAACAGGTACAGTCAATATGTCATCATGGAACTCTGTTTAATAAATTCAAACCTTTTCACAGACTTAGCAGGCTATAGTTGTGATAGTGAAAGTTATCTTGTAGAAGACACAGATTCTGTGCTACTTCGAGTATCTTGGTTCATCCAGTATTTTGGTGACCAACTGAAATTATGGTAATAAACAATCTCTTTTCAAGTGGAGAAGTGTTGCTTATTAGTAATTTGGTACTCCATGACACAATTGCTACTGGGCTGAGTCTTCTGACACTCTTTAGAGGCCGCTGAGAACACTGACAAGTGCTAAATACTTCCCTAGTCTCTGAAAAATCTGTGAAAGAAACCTTTACTGTCTGGCCACATCACAGGAACTTGAAAGGGTTGTTGATCCTCAAAGAAATGTGACATGATGGTACTTAAGTACACAAAGATGTCTTGTGTTCATTCTGAAAACATGTTGGGCTAAACATGCCCATGCTTGGCTTGACTAGCATAGGCTGCACCCTTGAATGGCTGGGACTTCTCGCATGCTTCTGCAGGATGGAGGCCAAAGCATCTGCATTTCTGAATATAGTTTCAGATTTTTTCATTATTTGTCTGCAGTATAATTAGGACCTTTTTATTTTATGTTTTTTTAAACTAGGGTAGCATGCAAATGATGAAAGCTAACCATGTTTTTCTTGCTCCCTTTTCTAGCTTGGTTTGTTATTGGTATTTTTGGAGCTGCCATCTTTATTCTTATCCAGCTGGTGCTTCTTGTGGACTTTGCTCACTCCTGGAATGAGAGCTGGGTTCAAAAAATGGAGGAGGGAAATTCTAAATGTTGGTATGCAGGTAGGTATCTTAACCTGTGAAGGATTTGTTTCTGCTGGCCAGTACTCTGCAGAGTATCACTTACTATTTTGCAAACATACTTAGAATTACACTCCAGAGTCTCCTTGAGTCACTACTGTAAACATTTGGAATTAATAGCTGCAGTGTTGCTTTTTTTCTCATGAAACAAAATGCATGATATTTTAGGCTTGTGCTTAGCAGATCTGACAGTCATAATAAACAACACTTGCCTCGTTTGCACTGTGAGTGCAGAGATAGTAGCCTGGATCTCTTCAACTCTAATTTTGCTTTGCCACCTCCCCTCCTGAGGTCCTCAGGAAGTCAGTTGTATCACTGACAGTGGCTGCAGTACAACACAAAGCATGCCTCAGCACTGCTCCCGAGCTGACCACTAAATTACAAAGTGCTAATTATTATGGTTCTTTGCTCATAGCTATGAATGCTGCAACAGCATTTTGTAGCATCTTATAAAGAACATAGCAGAATGGAAATGAAAATGGTTGTCCTCTAGCATAGAAGGGCGAATTCAGGGCTTATAAATAGTCCATGAGAAATGTGCAAAAATCACCCTTATTTTGGCACTGTGGCTTGAGATCAGTGAAACCAATTAAACTGCTGCTGAAAGGCAAGTCTTATTCCCCTGATGGCAGCATTGGGTTTCCTCTGAGCTACACTATGTAGGAGCCAAAGCAGAAATTTAGCCATACCTAATAAAAATGCATTCTGCTAATTCAGTTTTCTGAACTAGACTTCCAAGTGAGGAAGAGACTGTCTCATTACAGTGGTAGCTGGTCATTAAATCACCTTAGATGTACCGTTACACTACACGTGTGTTGTAACAGTTAATTTTTTTTTTTTCCCTCCAGCTCTGCTGTCCTGTACAAGCTTGTTCTATGCCTTGTCGCTGATTTTTGTTGTGCTCTTCTATGTTTTCTACACAAAGCCTGATGACTGCACTGAGAACAAGTTCTTTATAACCATTAATATGATCCTGTGCATTGCTGTCTCCATTGTTTCTGTCCTTCCAAAAGTTCAGGTATTATTTTTCTGTGCTATTTTCTTCTGACGTACAAAGCAGGGAAGTAAGAAAGATGTAGTACCAATTCAGTCAGACATAAGAACTTTAAAATTTGGCTATCATAACTATGCTAGCTAGGGACATTTTTAAAAAAATAAATCTTGCTCTGAAACCAATGCGCTACATAGTCACGTATTTCCTGAAGATTTTTTGGTTTTTTTGCAAACATTGTTTTGGACTTTGTTTCCAGGTGGGGGATGGGGGACTACTGGCATGGGTTTAGTGGTGAAGGTTCTGGCAGAACAGAGAAACCCATTAGGAAAAAGCAAAAAAAGCTGGGAATTTATTGGCTTAATACTGTGGCTTTGAAATTATGGCTAAGCGTGTTAAATATGAGAGGAAGTTTGCGTGTTACTTGATTCTGAACTGGTATTGCTCAAATAAATCAGATGGTAGATTTGTATCTACATAACTGTTTAGTGAGTTGGGATTAACTCAGTAAGAACCCATAACTGAGTCCTGGGTGCAGAAAAACTGGATTTGGTTTGCTTATTCCTTCTGTGTTTGAGTTGCACACTGCATAAATTGCATTATTCTAAGGATTTTCTTCTGGTCTTTTAAACATAGAACAAAGCCCAATGCATTTCTAAAAAATAAAGTTTTGCATGCTGAAAAAACTGCTGAATCTGTGGCAGTAGGGTAAAACTATCCAAGTATAGGTAAAACTTGCCCTTTTGACCTTGGTTTGCTATTCTGTCTTTGAACAGGAACGTCATCCTCGCTCTGGCCTCCTCCAGTCCTCTGTGATCACACTGTACACCATGTATCTCACTTGGTCGGCCATGTCCAATGAGCCTGGTAAGCAACAAGCTGTCTTGAGTAACATATTTTGGTGTGAAAAGAGAAGCTGATGAAGGGGCTCATGGTTATTACAGATCACTGTGTGAGGATTGCTGATCTGCCAAGATAAAATTGAGCTGACATTACTGAAACCATCAAAATGGCTCTTTCCAGAACTAAAATGGGGTATTTGTGCTGGGGATGGGGAACCAGTGTCAGGGCATTCTGATTTTATTTATTTATTACACCCTTGCCTAGCTCACAGGAAGTAAAATACTCCATGCCATTACTGCCTCTGGGGAATCAAAGAGATCACCAGTTAAAGGGAATGAAAAATTGCAAGCTTACGTGTCATCTTTTCTTAGCTAAATGCTGTCAAAGCTCATCTCTCTTTTAATCTGCTTTGAAATCCCTTTCAGAACGAAGCTGTAACCCAAGTTTGCTGAACATTATTATCCAGGTAGCTACACCCACAATTGTTCCGCCAAATACCACTGTTGTACCTGCTACTCCAGCTCCGCCCAAGTCCCTACAGTGGTGGGATGCCCAGAGTGTTGTTGGATTGGTTATCTTTGTCCTTTGCCTCTTGTATTCCAGGTAGGATCTACACTGCTATCAAATGACAAACAGTTAGGATTTGTCTGCATTTTTTGTTTGAGTCTGGAACTAGTGAAAAATATACCTGCAATTATTCATATCCAGCTGCCGTCTCAGCCCAGGCCCAAATATGGCCAATAAAACTCTGTTCTGTTTTGTGGATGAGGATAGGCTTTATTAGCCCAATTCAGAAAACAGAAAAAAAAGTGTTACGGGACCTGGACTAGGAACACTGTTTAATTAGGCTAACAAAAGCTCAGATGAAAACAGATCTCTGAGGAGCCTCCTTGTGTTTCCAGGTAGATGGATTTTAAAAATTGTTATTTGCTAATCCCAGACATTCACTGTGGTCTGTCGCTTGCTTTATTAGCAAACATAACTAACTGAAAAAGGAGCTTTTAACAGTGTCTATCTTTTGGTTACGCTTCAGCATTCGCTCTTCAAGTAACAGCCAGGTGAACAAGCTGACACTGTCTGGGAGTGACAGTGCCATTCTGGAGGACACTGTGGGAACAGGCAGCGGGGCTGCAGAGGAAGGAGAAGTACGCCGTGTCATGGATAACGAGAAGGATGGTGTTCAGTACAACTACACCTTCTTTCACTTCATGCTCTGTCTTGCCTCTCTTTACATCATGATGACACTCACAAACTGGTACAGGTAAGAGCGAGACAAAGTGTCGGGTTCTATGTGCCAACCAGTGGTTCAGGTGGATAGGAGACTCCTGCCAAGCTGGTTAAGATGGTGTCCCTATGCCAGTTGTATTAGAGTTGTGCCTTCTCGATTTTGTGTTGCTGGATTAAGATGTAGAAAGGCAACGTCAGCAGGTGTAGTCCTAGTGGACTGCTTCACAGCTGCAAGGGCAGAAAGGGCCATCCTTCAGACAGGCAAGTAGCAGGAAGGGTACATACAAAACTGGTTTAAGGTGGCTGGTCAGAGGCCAGCCTCATGTTACTGGCTCTTCACGCTGGGAAAGATATGCAGGGACAGCCAGACATGCCACTTAAATGGAGATGTGATTTCCTAGATCTGTTGGGAGCACTTGGGACATATCCTCTGCTGCTGTACTTATGACTGTTTTTGCCAGGACTGCCATATTGTACAAACCAGCAGATAGGCTTACAGAGCAGCAGCCATCGGGAGTCTATTGCTGGCTGAGTTGTCTTACCATGTTCCCACAAAGGCATTTGCACTGGAGTGTGCCAAATGATTGGGACAGATTCATGAGAGGTAGCAAGGAATAGCGGAAGGTGCCTTCCGTATCTATTAATTGACTTCTTTACTTTTTAGCCCTGATGCAGATTTTAAAACAATGACAAGTAAGTGGCCAGCCGTGTGGATGAAGATAGTGTCCAGCTGGCTTTGTCTCCTTCTCTATCTTTGGACCCTAGTGGCTCCTCTTGTCCTTACTAACAGGGACTTCAGTTAAATTACTGCAGCTGTCTGATCTTACAAAAGTGGGGAGCTTTTTGCTGAAAGCCAAAATGTTCATGTATTGCTTTAGTTACACTGTCTGTTAACTGTTTCTTATGTTAATATTAACATGCAGGTGGATAGAAAGTTATGTATTGTGTAATGCTTGGTGCAGGGTCAAAATTGTTATCAGTTATCCTTCTATTTTAACCTTCAGTCATAGTTATCTTATTACTACATTTTTAAAACTCACTATATCTGTGCTGTCAAAGCACAAAATACCTGTTCTGTCCAATAACCACAACCTTTCTATTGAATAGAAGTAACATTTAGCTAAACATGAAGTAATATATTTTAAAGAACAGTTATATTCAGCATAATGCACTACTACGCTAACACTTCAGTTCCTGGAAGTGTAAGCCACACTGCTTGATTTCTACATTCCACTGTAAAAGTTTATTTTAATTTATACTTACCTTCCTATGTTGTGGCAACCTCCACCCCTCCCCCCCCCCTTATTCCTCACCAAAAGAGCAGAACTTTGAAGTTAAAAAAATGATTAATTCTAATTCTTTTTAAGAACAAACATGCCTTTTCTAAGGGGCAATTTCTTTTTTAGTATGTTTGCCAAATATTAAGTGGTAAGTGTATGACTAGCTTAAACAACTTTATGATTATGGTGGAAAAGTAAAGCTTCTAATTGATTGCTTACAAAAATAATTATTATTATTGGCACTAAGGCATTTGCACTGTAAACTCATTTGAATAAAGTGGACTAACTACTGAAACTGTCCCAGCTCTGTTGAGAAGCGTTAAGTAGCAGCAGTTACTCTACAATGCAAATACTACATACAATGCTTAAAATGCTAGTTAGCTGCTGCAGTGTCCAGCTGGATGTGACTGGATGCCAAATTCTATTTCTTGAAGTTGTTCAGGTACACCGATCAAGTAGAGAGCAGTAGAAAGCAACACTTTTTTCCTAATGTCACTTGTGGAACTAAGTATATGTCACTATTGACTTTTACAGTAAAATACCCCAAGGCAACATGGAACTAAGTATATGTCACTATTGACTCTTACAGTAAAATACCCCAAGGCAAACATATTTAAAATAACAAATTAGCAGCTGTTACAATGTGTTTAATCACCCAGTCATGCATCATAAAATTACACATTTTGACCACTCCATTTTATAAAATGCAATATAAAAATAATTTTTGTCAAAATAAGAGGTACACTTAACCACCCAACATCTCTAGGCCCACGTATAACAGAAGGCAAAATTATTAGTTTGAATAACACTATGATTAACTCATGCCAAAATGAGATTTAACAAAAACAATACTTCACCCAGCTCCTGAAAATGCCTTAGGGTTTGTAACACCCATTTGCAAGAGTATAAATTCAAGTACTTTTTGTACAGTATGCAGCTACCTTTTGTCCCACTTAATGCCAAAAGCCATGGCTGCCCAATGCAGTTCAACTATCTTTCCTTATTTTATGTTGGATCTAGCAGGGATGGCTTATGTACTGGGCATGGCATATAACCCCTGGAAACAATGTTATTTCAAGTGGGCAAAAAATCTGTAAGCTTTCCTATGTCTTGACTTGCAGATAAAGAGACTCTATACCTAAAATGAGTGTTTATTTTCCAAATGCTGACATCAGAAATTTTGGGAACAGATTTCTTTGCTATTAAGTGCTAAAGCTCAAAGAGCATTCTCAGCTCAGTAGTCAGGTGCATACAAAACAAATCTGTGCTTTCTGTAAGACAAGCTAAGTACTGGTTACAAACCTGGAAAAGGGTAGAGGTACAGCTCAATAAAGTTGCAGCTCTGAGTTTTAAAGCCAAGAAAGAGCAAATTTGAAGTCGCAGTTAGATTGCCTGATGAAGGTAAGCCTGGCTTAGTTCAAGTATCCTCACATCAGCTGCCCAGCAGCCAGCTTTAAGAAAAAAGTTCTGGAGGTATAACACAGGCTATTTTCAGCATTGATAATGTAGCTTTATCTATTATGTTTAAATCATATGCTTTATTCTTAGTTTCTCTGCAAGCAGAGGAGAAAAGGGGAAGGAGAGATGGATCTAGTTTGCTTACTATTTAAGGCATGCAAGAGAATAAAAAAGCCTGAAAAGGGATTTGGTTTCTGTAGAGGTTCCTCAGCCTTCTCCTGAATGCCACTAGATTTTTTTTCTTTTTGATGGACACTAAATTGAATTTTGAATATTTAATCTCCCTCTCTAGTAGTTACATAAGGGGATCAAGGTAGCTGTTCTAATAGGTTAACTGTCAGAATACCACCCCTTCAAACACTGCACTTCAAACACAATTAAGGAAAGAGTATCAAATACCAGTGATGCTTTCACCTCTAAGAAAAATGGTCCATCCGTTTTTTTTTTTTTTCTTTTTTTTGTAATTGTACATTGTGGCTGGAATTAAGAGGCACTAAACCAATATAAACACCATGCTCTGTTCTGGCAGTTAAATGGCACAGGCAGCCACTTACCTTTCTAAGTCCTGGTGCTGTGTGCTACTGTCTTGCTAGGTGGCACAAAGAACTGAATTAATCTCTGCAAAACATGCAGCATGTTCTGGTCAGAAATGAGGAGGAAATGGCTAGTAGTACTCTTTTACCTTATTTTAAGTAGATGAAAATGGTAGGTTCCTGCACTAAAGGTAATAGCTGTCAAAGAGGAAAAAAAAAAAAAAAGACTTACAAAGGTAGGAAAAATCAGATGCTTTCAGGGAGGAAAATTCATCTCTTCCCACTTTAATCTAAAACAGTTGAAGTGATGAGTTCCCTGCTCCCACAAATTCTGAACTGCTACCCAGAAAAAAGCTTCATGGTTTACCCCTTTTCAAAACCCAGTCTCCTTTTATAATGCTCATATGACAGGTATGGCATTTGCTACCCCCTAGTTCCAGGCTGAGGTCTACTGCCAGATCAGGAAGTCGTTACAGTGGTAGAGGAGACCCTTTTTGGCACTGCAATCAGGCTGTAGGGGAACTGAGAGGAAGACAGACATTCAAAACAGAGTTTGGCACTTTGAAAAATGAATGTCTGAAATCCTCAAGATGCTTTAGTTTTGTATTTACAGAAATATAACTCGTACCTATAATCATACTTGGCACTAAAAAAAGATTTTGTCCAGAGAAAATGCTCTAGAGATAAGTCTCCAATTAGAAGGGATGTTCTTTTTCACCAAATAGTGAAATATTTCACCTTGAAGTAACAGAGTGTGCTTTCCTGGTCCAAGCGAGGTTTCTCATCTCCACACTACTATAGCGCAGAAAAACATGTGCAAAGAGTGTGCTAAGTTCTAACTCAAGACCATTAAACAGATTCAATCTGGGGAGTGGGAACAGCTTATCTAGACATAGGTATCTTACCCTGATTTGACATCGGAGTCTTAGTTCTGTCTCTAGACAAAGACCTAGAAGCACAGGCATACAAGCTACAGGTAAATATTACAGAGATGATTAAAATCTAACTTCATACAGGAACATGACAACCAAAGACAGAAGAGGTCAACAAAGTTGAAAACAAAGTTGTAAAATTTTACAGAAGAGCTGACAAGCACGGTGAACAAAGTGCTACAATACCAGGAAACATATTAATGTGCTTTCAAATAGCCTGTCTGCATTTGGTTTTACAGACTTAAACTCAAATCCTGCCTAAAGTAACAAGCTAAAGAAGCACCTTGCTGTCTTACATGAAGTATTGCCTTCTATACATCATATGCCAACTGCTACAAAGCCCCTTACAAATTCTATGTAGGAGTTACTTACCCAATTCCTCATCACAAACAGCTAAAGAAAAGAACAACTGACTGGGAAGGTGGCCGACATAGCTTTTTCTTATTTGGTCCCAAACCTCATTATTTTAAGATGTGATCTAATCAAAAGCCTTAGTATTTGATCTGAAAAACTTAATGTTTTCTGAAAATGAAGATTGCATCTGTTTATAATAAGCCTTGGCATAGATGTTATAGTAGTTCATCCACCAGTTATAGTTCTTCCTACTGCGAGGAAGTTTCAGAGATGCTCTCCATATTGATATTCATGGATAAGAAACTTGTGCTCTCAAATTAATAGAGACAAATATTCATTGAGATATTTCAGAAATGCCAACTCACAATCTGAATCAAGTGTTAGAGGACAGGCCAAGTTAGACTTCTATGTTTTTAAGCAATCTTCACTGACAGAACTACATTTTGCAGGCTTCAAAAGCAATTTTGTTATCTTGGATTACTGGTGTTTGCAGAAGGGGAAGGGAACAGATGGTCACAAGGCTAGTAAGTTATTGTTGTCGCTTTTCACCTGTGTGGGGAAGGGGTAAGAAACTATCAAGCTTACTATCCTGCAATATTTTTCTTTCCTTTAGCATTGGAAATAATAGGCCAGTTTGCATCATTCACACAGAGGTTAATGAGCCTCAAGTATTCTACATAACTTGTGCTCTTTGACTTTACCCTCCCCGAACTCTGCCCTGCCCCCATTGTGCCCTTTTCAGCTTCCTTTGGTTCTACAGTGTAAAGTGCCTCAGCGGTCTGTTCCTAACTGCAGGTTTAGGAGTAAGGCAGAGTTCACAACACCTCCTATCAGAACAGATCGTAACTGTGCTGGAAAACTTCCCTTCACTGGTTTGTTAATAACAGTAATAGAGCTGAGGTTTCATGCCTCGCAGAGAATCATCACACTGCTTTTCATCAGCATCCCCACTCACTAGCATGTCATGGGGAGAGCTGTCACATGGGAGAACCAGCTGTGAGAAGTCACGAAGAAGGTCCTCTTCAGAAGCTAGCAGCAGCTCGTTCCATGCAGAGATGTCCAGCTTCCCTGAAGTACCACCGTACTCTTCAGGAAGGATCACTGGAGGAATGTTTTGATGAAGGGAATTCAGATCACAGCCATGAAGGAAAAACTGAAGAAGAAAGCAAAGGGCAGCTTTGATAGTGCATATCAAACACTTTACAGCCAATTACTGAAACAGTCAGTTAACAACCTGATTTTGAGCTAAAGAGCAAATTTTAGAAGTGATGTCCTTACGGGCTAGTGGCAGGATACAACACTGGGCAGGTGCAGTTAGACACACTAGTGAGAGAAGCCTTGAGAGGTTCTGAGTCTAGTGCAATTTAAATCCCAGCAAGACAGACTTGACATTTGCTAGCCTGTGCAGAGGTTCCAAATTCAGCTCATCCCCAAGTTCATTCATGGGATTGGAAGTACTTATTTTTGTGGAAAAAAGCATCATCCTTTGCAACTGCATCCAGTCCTAAGGCAAGAATAGTAGTGCCACAC